CCCCTCGGAAAAACGATTTTGGTCGGACCCAGAAGCTACGAAAACGGCACCCAAAAAGGTCAACTTAAGCAAGGCTCTGACGTACCTCGCCTCTTGCCTAAAACGCCTCAGAAATATGTGTTGCTTAACAAAAAAAAGCGCCTGCGGCGGGCAGACCCAAACTTTGTCCGTCGTGTGGTTGTACACCATGATGTTCAGCCAATCGTCACTTCCCACGTGCACTGCATCTGCCACCACGCACAAAATGTCCGTCGAGAGGAAATCTGACTTGCCCTGCGTGACATAGGCGTATCGCTCCATGCGTGCTAGCCTGTGTGCGTCCATAGAAGCGTGCTTCTTGATCTTTTGTTCGTCCTGCTGTTCGCTGCTGTCCTGCACGGTGAACGCATGTCCTTGCAATGTGGAGGTAAGTGTCCTGCGTGTGGCATTCGATGAACTCGCAACCTCTTGTCGAAAACTCGTGGACGACCGACGATATCCGGAGGTGCTCCTGAAACAACAGGGGGAATATCAATTTTCGGGCTTTCAAGACACAACCCTACATCTTAAAACCCCGGAACCCTCCAAACCCTTCAAACCCTCCAAACCCTCGAATCGAAACCTCTCTCCTAAGCTGCATCACTTGCTTCACATTCAAAGATGTCCAGCAGGAATGCGTGTCGTCCGACGAATCCATGGCACGTGCCAAAGCCGCCAACAAGTAGTACTTCGTCCTCAAACTAGATGACTTGCGAGTGTCTCCAATTGTCCGACGGGTGCAGTCCACATTCACATCCTGCAGCACGTCCATGAATCGGGAACGATCGCGGTGTAGTACTTTAGCAAGTAAACTGTTTTGCAGTACAACCTCGTCCACGTCCAGCGAACCTCCTTTGAACGGCAGCACCAGAGTGTTTCCGTCCCACGTGAATGAGAAGTCCTGCGGGGTCTGCAGGAACAAGGAAGCGAGGCCTTGAAGCAACTCCCCGGCCAGCTTGGATACCTCCTCTGCCGGCTTCTTCCATTTGGCATCTTTGCGCATACCCTGGTGCCATTGATGCAAAAGAACAATCGTTGCAAAGCTCGACGTGGCAAACTCTGTACAACGTGTGCTTCGTCCAGCTGCTACCTCTTCCATCTGGTCACCCGTGTGCTCCTCATTGTCCGCTTGCTCGTTGTCGTCCTCCATGTCGTCCTGCATCTGCTGCGAGGATGCCTTTCGTTTGGTGCCCTTCTTCTCGGCGTTTGCAGCGTGCTCCTGCTGCTTGAGGAGGGAGAACGAACTCTGGAGAAAGTGCGACTCGATCTCTTTTTTCAGAGCGTCCTCCGTGTCTGTCCAGCAGGGCCATGCAATCGTGAAGAGCTTGTTCCTGAACGTCGACACACTGCCTGCGAGGAAATTTCGAGACTCGTGTCCTCCGAGGAAGTCCACAAACCAACGCATGTGCCAAAAACGATGTCCATCCGTTACCTTGGTCTGCGGCTCTTTGTACTTGTAGCTCTCGCCCTTCAGGCTTCCGTGTGTCCCGCAGGGAATGCAAAATGCAACTGTCCGACGCTTGTCCGACGCAGAGCTGAAAAAAGCTGGAGGTCCTGAAGAAGAGGGTCCATCGGCAGAAGCGGGCTCCAGCATCTGATAGCGAGTGGATCAATTCTACAGTCTGTTTCTGGTGAACGAATGTAGCAAAACTTTATAGGCTATGTCCCAGGAAGTATATGTGACATCTGCCAAACCAAGAGAAAGGGAGGCTCTGCAGGCATGCAGCTTTTATTCTGGAAGCCCAAAGACAGCGGCAACGAATCGCTGATGTCGCAAGGCAGTGCTCACACCACGTGTCATGGGTCTGTGTTCTTCTGCAACATGTATGTAGCACATACTGCAAGGCACCGCAAGGAAGTCATTATTGCAGTCAGCCATTCATCGCACGTATTCTTTTATGCAGCTTGCAAGTTGCCGGCTTCACGGCCCCAGTGAAACTCGTGCCTGTCCACTCACTCAGACACAATGGGTCGAACGGCGAGGCGAACGACATTGTGCTTTTCGAGTGAACAAACTGGACAGAACAACGAGTAAAGTCAACCCCAAACTCAAGACACACTGAACTACCAGGAGAGAGTGCATTATGCACTCCGGACCGACGGGGTGCCCTGCGGCACATTGTCGCCGAGGCCAGCCGTGGTGTCTGCGTCCGACGACAAGTCGAAGGTCCACTTGGCCTTCATGTCCGGCAAAGTAGGAAAGAAACTCGCGCATTCAAAACTGAACAACGAGTTATGCTGTCCATCTGAAATGACACAGTCCACCGCAAAAGGGTCGTCCAATTGCCACGTCTTGTTGTCCGGGAGAGTAGGAAGCTCGTGGCTGAGGTACGACTCGTTGGGTACGAACTCCGAGCGGGAACGGCGAGGGTGTCCATCTTGTGTGGCAAAGACGTGGCAGTACAACGTGTTGTTCTCAAGTGACCAGATGTTGTACCTGTCCCGGTCAACACTGATAGCCTCCGCCGAGTTCACCGCAGCTATGTAGTTGCGACCAACGTCCTCCATGCGGGCCCTCGCTAACTTGACCAACGTGGACTGATAGCGAATGTCCGCACGAGATGGCAAGGACGCCGACTTGGCTGCCCAGAACTGGATCTCGAAGAGGGTCCGTACGACGGGTTCGTCCTTCTGTACGTCCTCCGCGAGCTCCACACCGCAATGCTTGAGCATTAAGCTCGCCATCTCAAGCGGCAAACTGCCCCATTTGGTGCACTTGCCCTTCCATCTCAGTCCACCGGTCTCCTCCTTCTTGGCAACGTCCTTCAGAAGACCATTCAACGAGCCCGAGCGGATCAGACCAGCGAGTGGAGAAATCCAAGTCGGGTTCTGGGTCAGCGTGTCTTGAATGAACCGCATGTCCACGTCGAGTATGGTGCTTTTGGAGTGCTGAACGGCGGATGCGAACGTCGCCTCGTTGCGCTCCCGGGTCTTGATGTCCTTCGCTTTCTGCTTCGCCAGCTGCTTGAGGGTGGGCTTGCGGGGGCCGGCATCACGAGGCATGCTGGGCAAGGTCCGTCGAGGAAGAACGACGGGGAAGGATGATAAGACTGCACGAAGTCTCAACGCACAGGCAGGACGGCTTCGGAAAACCAAACAATCAATCAAGCCCTGCTGCTGGGTGGTCTCACAGTGCATTGTGACTGGACGAACATGGCAAGCAAGACACAAAGCGTAGACCGCACGAGAGCACAGTGCCTGAAACGAGAAGGCTCAGCGGCAGCGATGCCGGCCAATGGAGTCCGTGTCCTCCATATGAACAGGACAACAGCGATTGCAAGAGCGCCTTCCTCCAGCTGGTTGACTACTGGTCTAGTAATTACTCGTAGCAATACTAATCCAGATTGCGAAGAGTAGTACTAGCAGCAGTACCACTACTCATTAAAGAAAGGAAAAACCAGTAGGCCGAAATTGCAGTCCCTATTAGTTGAAGTAGAAGTATTAGTAGTAGTAGTAGTAGTACTAGTAGTAGTAGTAGTGTACTAGTAGTAGTAGTAGTAGTAGTAGTAGTAGTAGTAGTAGTAGTAGTCGTAGTAGTAGTACTAGTACTAGTACTAGTCGTAGTAGTAGTAGTAGTAGTACTAGTCGAAATAGTAGTAGTAGTAGTAGCAGTAGTACTGGTTAGCTAGTAGTAGTAGTAGTAGTAGTACTAGAAGTAGCAGTAGTAGTCGTAGTAGTGCTAGCAGAAGTAATAGTAGTACTAGCTAGCTAGCTAGCTAGCTAGCTGGCTGGCTAGCTAGTAGTAGTAGTAGTAGTAGTAGTAGTAGTAGTAGTAGTAGTAGTAGTAGTAGTAGTAGTAGTAGTAGTAGTAGTAGTAGTAGTAGTATAGTAGTAGTAGTAGTAGTAGTAGTAGTAGTAGTAGTAGTAGTAGTAGTAGTAGTAGTAGTACTAGTAGTAGTAGTAGTAGTAGTAGTAGTAGTAGTAGTAGTAGTAGTAGTAGTAGTAGTAGTAGTAGTAGTAGTAGTAATTAGTAATTAGTAGTAGTAGTAGTAGTAGTAGTAGTAGTAGTAGTAGTAGTAGTAGTAGTAGTAGTAGTAGTACAGTAGCAATGCTAGTAGTACTTGTACTAGTCGTGGTAGTAGTCGTAGTACTGAGTTGTACACCTCATGATTATTTTCCTGAATCAAGCCACACCCGAAGCCCCTCTGTGGACAAGTATGGTGAACTTCCAGAAGTGAAATCGGTTTATACCATGCACTGTAAGTAGATCTAGTTAAGGAGACACCACCCGCAATGAATAGGCCAGAACTAACCTTAATGATTCACAGCCACAAACAACAAATCTAATGTGTAACGCCCAACACTAAAATTTACCGCTCACCCTCGATTCTATGCACTCGATGCTTGAAATGCTGAAATGGCAACCCAGGCAACAAACCGGACTCCAATTGCTCAAAGGCCTTTAACTCTTTATGTCTACGGCAATTGCTCCATGTCTGCTGCAGGTGGATCCTAACTTACCTCAGAGTCCGCGGAATGCCTTGTCACAATCCGAAAGCATGACCCCTGACTTAGTCCTCGTCCTGCCGTGTGGCCGTGCCCTGCGAACCGAACGAGGAGTGACCGACCTCAATTGCAATGCATGAAGCACATGACAAACCTAGTACGAGTGACTGGTGACTGCGGGTGGTTCAAGCACTTGTCGCTTCCGAGTGTGACAGGAAAGAACACAGCAACTGTGCCGATGCAAATCGTCACAAACTGTGCAGCACCAGAACTCCGAGGACCCCGCCAAAGAGGTGCCAGTCCATGTCAGCAACCTGAAGCGCAAAAGTTTAAGTCAGCAAACAGTGCGATAGGAACTAACATCCGGCAAATGTAAAGTGTGCCAGGACAATTCTTTTTGAACGGCGAGAGCGAACTGATCTGAACTCCGAGTGCAGAAAACGTGTCACTTTCGAGACTGGCCGGCGAGAGCGAACTGCTCCAGAACTCCAAATGGAGACTGGCCGGCGGGTACGTCGTGCTTGAACGAACTGCGGCTAGTTCCACGAGCCCGGTCCAAGTTCGAGTTTCTTGAGAAACAGTCCGATGCACTGAAAGTCGATCGTGTCACCTGAACCAGCGATGTCCGAAAATTTGTCGACTTGGTAAGTATTTCAGTTATACTACAAGGTTTACCAACAAAAATCTTACTGGTTCTGCTGTTGCACGTCCGTCGGGGCCCTTCGTGATGCAGAAGTACAAGTCCGACGCGTTGTGCGACGACACTGCGTAGTACATGTGGCCCTGCCAGGGAACGGGGACGGCCACCGGGTAGGCCTCCCAGTCGCGGTTCAGCATCTCGACCATCCACGATTGCGGGTGTCGGGAACCGAACAGCGGGGAATGGAGTCCGGCGGAGAGGGCGCTGTCTGTCCTGCGCTGGGCCGCCCCGAGTATCTGCTTGAAGCAGAGCCTGGACCGGCAGTGGGTGCTGCGTGTTTAACCACTCACACACACAAGTGCAAGTACTGGAATGCTTGAATGACTGAGTGCGCTGATGTCATAGCTGAGTGCCACACTCCAACATTTTATCGCCCTGCATGTGTTCGACGAGTATCTGCCAGCCGTCGTCCTTCCTGCTAGGGAACAATTCAATTATCAGAAACACAAACTATTAAAATCTAGAAGTCTCTCTCACTCACCGTCCGAGGAGTCCGTGTCGCGAAGGCAGGGGGCCGCTTGTACAGCAGTCCATCGGTTGCAGCAAGCCAAGACCAAAGCCTACGGGATGTGCTCTGTGGAAAATAATCAATGTATTATAATATTATATGGCTTTAAAAGCATGCACCTTCATAGAAACCACGCTACAACCAACATGGGTGTAACGAGCCTGTCCGCCCATTTCTGCTGCGTGTCGTACGGCGAGTGTTCGGGTACAAAGACAGTCGAGAGCCATTCGGTGCGCCATTCGGGCATCCTGTCGGGTTGTCCAGTGCGGAAATAATATGCCTGCGCAAGGCTCAGATCGGCGAGGAAGCACTGCAAATCCTCCTGCGAGTCAATGCCCGGCGGAAGGCAGTCCAAACAGTTCGACGGCAGCTGCTCGCAATAATCGAGATTACGCTGCAGGATGGTACTTGGGTCTTCCATCCCACAGACCGACGCGAGGTAATAGTCCATCGCACGAAAATCGAATATGACCTCGTCCTGCGGGTCGGTGGAAAGGCGAAGAAAAAACGGGAGTCCATGGGGAAGTCCTGCTCGGTCAGCGGAACCGGAGGACGACATGTCCGACGAGAAAGAACGAGGAAAGGGAGAGGAATGATGATGACAGTGGCAGGTGGCTTGGGCTTTCTGGCAGCGGCATGATAACAATGATTCTGTGTCTAGGCTTCTTTAAAAAACCTAAAGCATCACCAACCACGACA